GCATGAAGATGAATATGGTGCTGATGGCATATGAGCGAAATTACGTTAGTAATCGGCAACAAAGAAATACAGATATGCACGAGAGAAGCATGTCAGGAACTGAGACATGACTTACAGAGTGAACAATTGGGTACCGCTACCGAGAGATGCAGCAAAGAGAGATTTGTGCTTTGGGAACCGGAACACATCCCCATGAATATATTTCCATCCAGTTTCCTCTTGATCATCAGCAGCTTCCTCGTCTTGAGCATACCTTTAAAGGTGGGGGAAAAGTTTATGATCGGAAAAAGAAATGTACATTGTTAAGCATAACGAGTAGAGAGTCAGCATTCAAAACTTACTTCATGAAATCATTCTTGAGGACCCGCATCAAGATGGTTGCAAGGAAACCAGTCAAGAGAAGGACAGTGACGCATGAGTTTATGATGGAGAACCAGTGGATTTCCAAGTGATGTGGAAGAGAAGAAGACATGGCGTACTTCTCCATTCTCTTGTCAAAAGGAGTCTCGGTTTCTTTCCACTTCACAGTGTACATAAACTCTGCATCGACTTCCTTGTCCTCAGTGAGATCCACAAGCGAATGAGGATCCATTCTAGCATTGATTTCGATCACACGGTCTTTGTTGTACAAAATCTCAAACTGGATGTGCTTGTACAAGAAATATTTGAACTCGCTCGGATCTGATTTGCTCTCTTTGTCAACCTTTCCAATGAATCCCCAGATAGGCAAATCATCATAGTACATCTGGAAGTAGTAGTCCTTTTCGACAGCCCTTCGAAACTGTTCAACTTCTTCTCTGCTAAGCTTCTTCTTGCAGTATATCTCCGAGTCTTTTTCATCTCTGAAGTTAAGCTTGTATGGAGCACTAACAAGTCGATCCCCATTCAAAACCTCACCAAGAGCTTCCTTCTTATCTTTCACACCCTCTGCAAAACAAAAACCAATGGATCAGAATGCATATGACCAAAGTAAACAAATCTGAACAAAATGTAAACCTTCATAAGACCTCGATTTTATTTCTCAAGCTGCCGATTCCAATTTATCAGTAAACAATTGAAAATTTTCGGATTTTAAGTGTAAACAATGAAATTCCAATTTAAGCTTCGTGAGAGATTCACAGTGAACGAAGCGTAAATTGGATTGCCCAGAAAACAGAAATTCACTAAGACCTGGATACACACAAAAGCGTGGCCATACCTGGAACACAGAAAGGCAGATCGAAATACCGATACGTCTCACTGCGATCATAAACACACAAGTAAAATCAGTCAGTGAGTCACAATGAAATCTAAGATAGAGCCACAAATCAACAGAGATCTATCGAAAATATTTTATGAGATTCAACGTTACACATTTTACAGCTCCAATCGAATTTCAAGGTCTACATCAATGGAAATCGCAATAACATCGCAGCTTTTACAGGAATCGCATGTAAAGTCAACGATTAATCTCTCATCCATGACAATCTCAGATCTGTAAAAAATATTGAAAACCTACAGACAACGCAAGTAGAATAGATATCTTTCTATACCTGGGATTGTGAAACGGGCCGACCTTGTTGGCGTAGAGCGGAACGGAGTCACCTTCCTTGTAACGGTGGTCGGAGGCATCGGATCTGACATTCCCGGCGCCGGAGAAGATGAGAGCTCCGACCAAGAGGAGCAGCGTCGTCGGTATTTTCATGGTGTTTCTGTTGAAGGGAAAAAATCGTGAGATCTGATTTTGCTTTATATTTGGGACGAACGCAAATGGGAAAGACGACAAATATTTTTTAATTATCTATTTTTTTACTGGCTTTATTCCTGTAAGACTGTAAATAAATAAAAATTAAATTTATTCCTATAAGGCTGTAAATTTTGCGACATATTTTACATTAACGTTTTTGAATTTACTAAACTACATATTTTACTAGTTTTCCAAAAAAAAAAAGTACATATTTTACTTTGTTTTGAGCTCTCCGTTTATTTTTATATTTTATATTTTGCTGTTTTTCTCTGAATTTGTTTATCAATTTTTAATCGATTAGGAAAATAAAAAAAATTTATATATAAATTAAATTAGGTTTTGCATAATATGCCTGTCAATTAGAAAATAAATGAAAATGTTTTGCGTTTTGGAAATAAACTTCTGAATGGCAGATAGTTGGAAGATAACCTTAAGCAATAAAACTTCTATAATCGATTTTCTTATTACAATGTCATTACATCATTTTTCTAATTTATTTCTGTTGGGAGGTTGATTCCCTTCTTCTGTAATTAAATGCCAATAAAAACAAAACAAGACAATTAAAAATGCCTCTTGTTTGTAGTAAAGACGTTATGCCAAGCTTAGCTTTTACAATGTCGTCGTATAAAGTATAAGCTTTAATTTCAAGAGGAATGTGTTGTTTTCCAATTCCATAGCCTGTATATTTGATTATTTGTTAAAACTTGGGTGTGTGGCAACAAAGAATAAAGACATTGTAACCAATAACCTAATCTAACTGTGCAACTCATCTTTTCCATGAGATGACATTTTAAAAACCAATAACCTAAACCAATTTTCTTAAAAAAAAAAAAAACCACAACAGTTATTATAAAGAATCGATAAATTTGGGTGAACAGATTTATTAGAATACACAAAAAAAAACAGAAATTCTTAAAATCTCTTAACTTTTGAAATCCATGAACTATACACAAATCACCTCCCCAATAACCCCTTTATAATAATTATAGGAAAAACGGTCACCGTATTTTGTATAGCTAGTGCCAAAACATCCTGAATGAGTTATCACCTGTATTTTGCCACTTGACTTCTTACTCTATCAACAATATAATTCAACTTTTGTTTGTATTTCTAAATTCTTTTAGGAGATTTAGATCATTACATCGTCTATTATCAGAAAGACACCCGCGGAGAGAAACAATTAATAGATTTTTGTTGTCCGAACGTAGCTCTTTCCTAAAGAGAAAAAGACGAGCATTCATTTAATTTCTTTTATTGATTAAAAAAATTATTAAGTTTGAATTGAGATTGCAAGGTTCTTCACGCCAATCTAAATGGCTTATCAGTGAACGTCGAAGTGGAAAATATATATTTAAGGATATAAAAGTTGTGGGCAGGAAAGTTACAAAGGATGATACTTCACTCAAGTTATAAGGTTGTTTTAATCAAGTAGGTCAAACATTAGCATTAGCAAAACTTGGTCCTATTAACTTCTATTTTTTTTTTCATTTTTTATCTTCCATATTGTTGTTTCATACTCTGTAATCTACTTTGTTATTTCTCCAGTTTATATATATATTTTTTGGATTAAAGTTATATGAAATATATGTTCGTTCGATTGAAAAAAAAAAGATAACTAACAGGTTTATCCGACTTAATATGAGTTTGAGGCCCAGAGATTAAAACTTTTATAAAAGGTCTAGAAAACGATCACGTTTTTATTAAGACCTTTTCAATGCCCATAAATCCTTTTTACCGTGACTATTATTTTCTTTGAATACGGTACGGCTATGTTTAAATTTCTTTTTTATCAGAAATTAATTATCATAATGAAAATAATTATTTGTATAGCTAGGCCCTATGGTATTATTTATGGAGCTATAAAACAGAACTAATCGTGCCAATATATATTTTTTTGTAATACTATACTTATCTTAAAACATTCAAAATTGTGCCCTGATAATTCCGGTGTGTGACATTTTTGTAGTTTTCTTAACGATCCAAACAAGTAACATGGAAAACTGTATTTTTTTGTGATCTTCTGTTGTATTATATGTTTTATTGGTATAACTGTGCCAAAAGATGACGAGTATAGATGCATAATACTTTTGGACCTACTAGATCGGATCCATTGACTTAATCTAATTTACAACTCCTATCTTAGACATCGGAAAATATTTTTATTGTTTAACAGATGTCACCTGATGGATACTTAACAACTTACTTAGTTGTTATAGTCTTCGATTTGGATTTGACTTACTAGGTTTATATATTAATTTTATATATAATAAAATAATAATAATAATAATAAAGGGCCTTTTCTTACCAATCAATTTCTTGTCACAAATATCATCACGATCGTTTGAAATAAGATTTGCATTGACTTATTTTCCTACAGGTATCTATCACACAAATTTTTATGCTAGACAAGGCGAATTTCGCTCCGTACAAGTAATGAAATTTGTAACTGATATACAAAAATTACAGTTAAAGTGGATCTGATAACATATATTACAGTTAAAGTGAACAAAAATTATAGTATGAAATGTTACACATTTTAAAGGTTGAAATTTGAAAATTTGAAATTGAAAATGTAGACACATAGACTCCCTTGATAAAAAAACGATTTGCGTGTGTTTACCCCCTTTTCGTCATGGTAATAGCACATCCACTCCTATAGAAATTATAAACATAATACAAACTAAACTTTAACTCCTGATACAAAATATAATTTTTTGGCTAAAAATATTGTTTTGATCAGATCATTATTTTTTTAAAATATATATATAAAGAGGTGGTTCGATATAATTCGTGTATTATAACGTCTCTCAACATGTGTGAGGAGTGCTTTTGCACCCAAATTTTAATAAACCAACAAAAATGACTAATATATATATATGTATATATACATACCTTTTTTGGTCGTCTATATGAAACAGACTATTTTCTATATTTAAAGACCCGAAATAATTTAAGAAAAATAAAATTTACGTGTAATTAAAGTCCATAGTAATTCAAATACTGAAATACAGTATAAAATAGTGACCGTAATTTATCTTTCTAGTATTTTTGAGCGGCCTATAATATACCGCAGAAAGTCTTGATGATAATGTTGTTTTGTCTTTGGAGTTATTCGGAAAAGCAAATAAATATTTATTTAAGTAAATTATAGGCAGTGCTTTAACATGATTAATCACATGATCATCATTATCATAAGCGATTTGGGTCCAGTGAACACATGATTATAGATATTTTGTTACATATATAAATGTGTATTTATATACATATTTATTGCCTCCCAGCTGCCTGAATCGACTCAAGGAGCTTCTTCTTCTTCTTCTTCTCCTTCTTCTTCTTCTTCTTCTTCTTCTTCTTCTTCATCGTCATCATCATCATCATCATCATCATCTTCAATATTCGAAGAAAATGGCGACTGTAATCGAAGCGGTGATGCCGTATAGACTTCTGGAGGACGAGACCGGTTCGCCGGAAGGAGAATCTAGCCCCGTTGACGCCGTTCTCTTCGTCGGGATGTCTCTGGTGCTCGGTATAGCTTCCAGGCATTTGCTTCGCGGGACTAGGGTTCCTTACACCGTCGCTCTACTCGTTATCGGGATTGCTCTTGGATCTCTCGGTTCGATTTCGATGATTCCTTTGGTTTTTTAAACCCCACTTCTCTAAATTTTCACGAAATTTTTTGATCGTTTGAAATTTGTCTTGGAAGAAAAGGAAACTTCATTGATTACTGATGAGGGGAACTATACATTAGTTTACTGTTTATCGTGCTCAATTCATAAGACAGTTGTTTCTTTTTTAATATTTTCAGAATATGGAACCCATCATAACCTTGGGAAGCTCGGCCATGGAATTCGTATATGTAAGTTCTTAATTTCGTTTGTCTCTTCTCTTCCACTCGTGAGCTTTTGTTGGCTTTAGAAACAATAGAAACAACGATCTCAATGTTACTGTGCAGGGAACGAAATCAACCCTGAACTTCTTTTGGCCGTTTTTCTTCCGGCTCTTCTTTTCGAGAGTGCCTTCTCGATGGAAGTTCACCAGATCAAGGTTTGTTTTTTGCTTTTCAATAGTTTCTGTAATCGAGCTCCTCTGGCTCTAGCTCCTAGTTAAGCCTATCAGGTGAAGAGAAGTAGATGCTAATTGCGTTGGTTCTTGTGATGGAATTGTTATTGGCATGATCCCTTAGAGATGTCTGGGACAAATGGTGCTACTTGCTGGGCCTGGAGTTCTCATTTCAACCTTTTGTCTGGCATCGCTTGTTAAGGTTTGTGGTAGCTTAGCATTAAGTGGCCGTTGACAAATTTATGATAAGGTAATGAATATTACAATGTATAATGCTATCTGCAGCTCACGTTTCCGTATGACTGGGACTGGAAAACGTCGTTGTTGCTTGGGGGACTTTTAAGTGCTACTGATCCTGTTGCTGTTGTTGCTTTGCTTAAAGAGCTTGGTGCTAGTAAGAAGCTAAGCACAGTCATTGAAGGGGAATCCCTGATGAATGATGGGTAATCATGTCTACCTTTGCTAATCTTCTGTCATAGTCTGGTAATTTATGACATTTATGCTCACACATCATGATTTTAAAAAATTTTCAGGACGGCTATTGTGGTTTTCCAGTTATTCTTAAAGATGGTTATGGGTCATAGTTCTGGCTGGTCTTCTATAATCACATTTCTGATTAGAGTCGCACTTGGAGCGTATGTCCTGATCTTTTCTTCTTTTAATGATATCGAGTTGTTGTGTTCTGAGCATCATAAACTCACAACGTATGATTCTGTCTGTTTAGTGTTGGCATTGGTATCGCTTTTGGCATTGCCTCGGTTCTTTGGCTCAAGTTCATATTCAACGACACAGTAATTGAGATTACTCTTACGATTGCAGTGAGCTACTTCGCATATTACACTGTACGTCTTTCAGTAGACCTTACCTTGAAATCTTGCGCCAAGATTTTATTTTTGTAGAATAAATGAGTTAGCTATTGCGTGACAGGCTCAAGAGTGGGCTGGGGCTTCTGGTGTTTTGACGGTGATGACTTTGGGCATGTATGTTCGGGTTATCTGATATTTTTTTTTCTTTTGTGATCATGTAAGAAGCCACTTGTTATATAATAACTGTAACAGGTTTTATGCTGCATTTGCAAGAACAGCATTTAAAGGGGACAGTCAAAGAAGTTTGCATCACTTCTGGTATTTCTAAAACTTGTGGGATTAATTGTTCTGTATAGCTTAACTCTATAAAAAAGTTGTAAGACAGATTTCACTGGTTTCTGCAGGGAAATGGTCGCATATATTGCAAATACTTTGATTTTTATCCTCAGGTAAGGTTATAATCATATGGACGTATCTCATGCTTGGGCCATGCCAACACTCTAAGAAATAAGCTCATGGGTTCTGTTACTGCAGTCTACTCTTTAACCGGTGCTACTAATTTGAGTTGCTTCTCATTGTATTTTTTGTAGTGGTGTTGTCATTGCTGAAGGCATTCTCGACAGCGATAAGATTGCGTACCAAGGTGCCATTAAATTTTGAAAAAGTTAGCAGCATATTTTTTTCTAGCGAAAAGTGGATTTTATTCAGATTATATATGAACATAGTTTCCGTCTAAATTTTCTACAGCCAGTTGTTTATTGAAGCTGACTCCCAGATCATTGCACTTTTCCAACTGTTATCACAGCTTGCTATAACCGTGAACATATCTCTGTTTAAAATGGTACTTGGTTCTCGACGGGTCAATTGTTCCTTAGCGTGAATAAGTTAAAAAAAAAAACTGGCACTATTGGTTTGAGTAATTGATAATGTGCCAAGAATCCGGGACTGAAATATGTGTTCTTTCACCAGTCAATTGATTATTACGTAGCTTTTAGAAATATACTGTGCTGGATATGTCTTTATTCTCTGGAACTTTACCCGCATATGGCACACAAAATCATTGAACTTACCTTTCTCCTATATTGTGGTTTTATGAATTCTCGATGACCCATGTCTTTTTACAGGGAGTTCATGGGGATATCTTTTTCTACTATACTTATACATCCAACTATCGCGTTGTGTTGTTGTTGGAGTTCTGTATTCATTTTTATGTCGTGTTGGCTATGGCTTGGATTGGAAAGAAGCCATTATACTCGTATGGTCTGGTTTGAGGGGTGCAGTGGCGCTCTCACTTTCTTTATCCGTGAAGGTTAGTTTTTAAGAGCATTGGCAATCTTGTTCTTCTCTCCGTTAAATTAATGCACATCTTTATTCAGCTGCATTGATTCAGTGTTGACTTACCTTCTCGATCATTTGATTCAGCAATCAAGCGGAAATTCATTTCTCAGCACCGAGACAGGAACAATGGTACGTTCTGGAAATAGTCTGCAAGGTGTTATTGAGAGCCTAAATAAATTATGGAAGAGGATCATTTCTCTCTCTTGATATTCTCAGTTGTTTTGCAGTTTATTTTCTTCACTGGTGGAATCGTGTTCCTGACTCTGATAGTTAATGGATCCACTACCCAATTTGCTCTGCGCCTTCTTCGCATGGACGGTTTACCAGCCTCAAAGGTCAAGATCTTTTCACAGAGTTCATTTCCAACTTTAGCAATCAAATTCATTAATACTCTCATTTGGGGACCAGGGAAACTGTGGTTATGCCCCTGTCTTCCTGGCGTTTGAGTCCTTGAGCGGGCATAGTTAGGTGTATGCGTCAGCCAGTAATAGCTACTAGCTAGCTAGTCCCAAGACTGGCCCAAAAAGTTCTGCATTTCTTATCTCGAAATGCTCAACCCCCATTATTTATTCAAAATTCTCCACTTTTCTTGTTGACAGATACGAATATTGGATTATACAAAGTATGAAATGCTGAATAAGGCCTTACAAGCGTTTGAAGATCTAGGAGACGATGAAGAGTTAGGACCTGCTGACTGGCCTACAGTTGAGAGTTATATTTCGAGCTTAAAAGATTCAGAAGGGGAACAAGTTCATCCTCATAGTGGCTCTAAGCCTGGAAATCTTGACCATACGAGTTTAAAGGACATACGTATACGTTTCTTAAATGGTAATTATCATGTCCTCTCCCACCTATTACGCTATCTTATTAGGCAGACTATTGACCCTTAGTTCGAGCCTCTTGCTTGCATCAGGTGTTCAGGCAGCTTACTGGGAGATGCTTGATGAAGGAAGAATATCTGAAAGTACTGCTAATATTTTGATGCGGTCAGTGGATGAGGCGTTGGATCATATTTCGACGGAGCCTTTATGTGACTGGAGAGGTCTAAAATCGCATGTTAAGTTCCCGGGCTACTACAACTTTCTTCATTCTAAGATTATCCCTGGGAAGTTGGTCATATACTTTGCTGTCGATAGACTGGAATCTGCTTGCTACATTTCCGCTGCATTTCTTCGCGCACATACAATTGCACGGCAGCAATTGTATGATTTTCTTGGTATGTTTAACTCAGATTCTGGTTCACACTTTGGAAACATTGACTAGAAGGAAAAATTGTTGATCTATCAGAGTTTTGCTGCAAGTACTTCAACTTAGTAAGAAAAATACTTTCATCCAATCCCACTTTTGTCTCTTACTTGTCTTTCTTTTCTATACAGGGGAGAGTAATATCGGTTCTACTGTAATCAAGGAAAGTGAGACCGAAGGAGAGGAGGCGAAAGAGTTCTTGGAAAAAGTCCGATCTTCACTTCCTCAGGTTGAGAGCCGTGCCACTTGTTTTGGGTGGTTTATCTTTCTCGCGATGAACCACACATAATCTTTGATCAACTTGGTTTGCAGGTTCTCCGTGTTGTGAAAACAAAACAAGTAACTTATTCAGTGCTGAGTCATTTACTCGATTACATTCAAAACCTTGAGAAGATTGGCTTGCTGGAGGAAAAAGAAATCGCTCATCTTCATGATGCTGTTCAGGTACCAAATTAAAACATCCAATTCCTTCAACACATGGTCTTCTCTCTTTTGTCTAATGTTACCCTTCTCTCCCTCTGCAGACTGGCTTGAAGAAGCTTTTGAGAAACCCTCCAATAGTAAAACTTCCAAAATTAAGCGACCTGATCACCTCGCATCCTTTATCTGGTGCCCTTCCGTCTGCAATATGTGAACCTCTAAAACACTCGAAAAAAGAAACAATGAAGCTGCGTGGTGTGACGCTTTATAAAGAAGGTTCAAAACCAACTGGAGTCTGGCTAATTTTCGATGGCATTGTTAAGGTAACGCAAAATCTAGTTTTACTTTTAAAGTCATAATATCTAAAGATCCATTATATTTCTTCATTTCTGGAGGTCTAGAATTTATAATGATAGTAATTTTCAACACCTGCAGTGGAAAAGCAAAGGCTTAAGCAACAATCACTCGCTGCATCCAACATTTTCTCATGGTAGTACACTGGGACTCTACGAAGTCCTCACTGGGAAGCCATATATGTGCGACGTGATTACAGATTCTGTGGTTCTTTGCTTTTTTATCAATAGTGAGAGAATACTATCTTATGTACAATCGGATTCCACCATTGAAGATTTCCTTTGGAAGGTAGGTCTCTATTCGAAAAAAACTATCTTTTCTTGATTGTATATTGCATCTAACTTCTTTCGTGTTTTGTTTTTTTAATAGGAAAGTGCATTGGTGCTTCTAAAGCTATTGCGTCCTCAAACATTTGAAAAAGTGCCAATGCATGAATTAAGGGCCCTTGTTTCCGCTGAAAGCTCGAAACAGACAACATATGTATCTGGAGAATCAATTGAAATCGATCACAACAGCGTCGGTTTGTTATTAGAAGGATTCATAAAAGCAGTTGGTATCCAAGAAGAGCTTCTTATAGCATCTCCTGCTGCATTATTGCATTCTAACGAGAATCAAAGCTTCCGTAATTCATCAGAAGCTTCGGGTAATTAATTTGAACAGTACACAGAAGAATCAAACCCTTCTATTAAACTGGAATCAACCAAAAAACTGTGTATTTTTTTTTTTTTTTTTGAATCACAGGTATCCTGAGAGTGAGTTTCTCACGACAAGCAGCACGATACAGTGTGGAGACAAGAGCAAGAGTAATCATCTTCAACCACGGTGCATTTGGAGCTCATAGGACTCTACAACGAAAACCATCGACGTTAGCATCACCACGTGCCACAAGCTCTGACCACCAGCTCAAGAGATCAGCTAGCAAAGAACACAGAGGTCTCATGAGATGGCCTGAGAATATATACAAAGCCGAGCAAGAAGAAGAGATGAATGGAAAGACATTAAACTTGTCTGAACGAGCGATGCAACTTAGCATTTTCGGCAGCACGGTACAAAAATTGAGATTCTTTAAAAAGATTGTTATCGATGAACTTGTGGACTCACCCAAAGCTTTTCACTTTTTGGATATTCTCGCAATCAGGAAAATCTGTACAAAAGGAGTGTAAGTTTCGGTGGGCTGAACAATAACAAGGCACAAGATAACTTATCGTACAAGAAACTCCCATCAACCTCAGCTCAAGGTCTTTTTTCAGCAAAATCGGAAGGCTCAATGGCAACCACTAAGCAGGTTGAAAGCCGGAAATTTGTGTCTCAGCTTCCTCCGTTAGCTGCATCTGCAGAAAGCAGCTCGAGGCGAGAAACGATGGCGGAAGAATCAAGCGATGATGAAGATGAAGGAATCATTGTGAGGATCGATTCTCCGAGTACGATCGTTTTCAGGAACGATGTGTGAGCAAGCGAGTTTGTTTGTAACATAATCAAAACGAGAATGTTAAGCTTTTACTTAAATTCTTGTGCGATGTCAAATGAATAAAAGGCAAAACAACAAAGCTATTTTGAGAACCATTTCAAAGTTGTGAAAACAAATCCAATAACGATCTTCTTTATGCTCTTCTTATATTTCCGAGTTAATTTACTCGACAGATCAAGCTTTTTTTTTTCATCTCTATCAATCACACTTTGGGGAGTAACTTGTTATTTTATTTATTTTAACCAAAACAATATTCGTCAATTTGAAAACAAAATTCTTATTATATTGGTTTACCAATGTTTACCTTGGACATTTTTTGTCTCCTCTCTTCTTTTTGTTTTCACCCCTCTGGCTAGGGTCAGTTTTCTTCTTTAATAAGTTGCTTGTCAAAAAGACAAAAAATTGGACCCCAACTCCATTAAGATCAAAAGCTCTCTTGGTTTTTCGCATTTAAAAATAAAATTATAATTAACCGTCTAACTCATAGTAATCCAGTTGTTTAATAATATATCCTAGAGTTGAAAGACAATGATTCAATTATTATCTTTATTTGATTTTAATGATGTTTAGCCAATATAAACGTTTCAAATAGTAAAATTAACTAGCTTTTCATATATGTACAATGTACTACTATAGGAATTAGCTTTGCGTTCCATTCAAGATAATCGAATTTTAATAAAAACAGCTTTAGTATTTAACTATTTATATACAAACTTGTTACACTAGTAGAAATATCACGGATTTTAACCAAATACGACGATCAGCAACATGTATTAGACAATAAGGTTGTATATGACCACTTACCACTTCTGTTTCTGCCGTACAGCTCAGTATAGCTCATGTCGACATACGTAACTCTTGACATAAGCATAACGTCATTGTACATCTGAGATTTTAAGCTGATATTATTGCCAATGTGCCTGAACGAGATGGAGCTTGCTGTTGCCTATTCTATTACTCTATTTAGGACTAATGAACTTTTTATATCTTTTGTCAACACTAATGAACTTTTATTTCTTTTTAGAAAGTACTAAATGAAATTTTATTTCAACATTCAATAACTAACCTTCTTAGATTTTAGAATTCTGATTTTTTGTCAATTAATATATGTCTAGAGTTTTTTTTTTGTTTTTTTTGCATTCTCTTTTGAACTCTTGTAATATTCTTTTTTGTACAAACAGTGAAACACAGATAGAATATTACTTCTTTAAATAAAAATCTAGGATTGTATAAGCAAATTGACTATAAAAAATAACAATCTAAGACATTTCCTTCTCTTTATCTTTTTACCTTTCACACTTCTTATTTTGCTCACATTTTAAAATTACTTCTCTTCCTTCTGCTTTATTTATGTGTTCTTTGTTTTCTTTATTCTTGTATTTTTCTTCTTTACTCTTGTTTACCCATCACACTTTATCTATTTAGCTTGTGAATATTCTCTTGATAAATAAAAAAATGCCTTGCTTGTTGAAAAATAAAGATAAAAAGTAAAAAGCTTAAAATCCAATATCAAGAAATTTATGAGGATATAATATAATTATTCTCATTAGGATAATCCATCGGGTATTGTACAACATTTTTTCAAAATTTACCTCCCCTAACTTTATATACAAAAGTTGAAAGTTTCTCTCATCGCCAATGATTACTTTGGCTTTCTAATAAACCTCAATTATATTACACATGTAAAACAACCCCCAACTAATTACCAGCACTACATAACTCACCCCTTTGTTCTGATTATAGTAATTGTACCCCTCCCTTGTGTTTGGATCCTAGTCAGAGCCACCACGGCTTTGCCGGAGAGGCCTGGTCCATGGGTCGAGATGCACGGTCGAGAGGCAAAGTCTCCTACCGGATGTCGAACAGGCCGAGCCGAAGGCATTAGAATCTTCTTATTTATGTCATTTAGGGTTACATCTTCTTCTCGAGCACCTGGTTTCACCAATCCAAATGGGTAGACCACTCTCGTGATTAGTCTTTTGTTCTTATTACCACAATTAGACGAAGATGGTTCGTTTGGAGATTTTTCTCGGACATAGATTTTGTCAGAAGAAACAGAAGTGTCAGGAGACTCGTAAACGGTCGATATCGGCTCATCATTGCTACTTATCACACTCTTACGTTCATCTGTACATTATAATTGATCAAATAAACTTTCTTTAGAAGGTTATTTTAAATAAGACTAAATTTTAGTAAAGGAACAAATAAAATAAACTTACGTATTGACTAAAAAAGCCAGCAAACTAACTTTACAAAAATGTCACTTGGACCCGAGGGAACTATTTTGTTTTGAATATTGTTTATTTTTTGCCTAATATAAAAGGAAAAATGTATTGTTATTTCAATTTTTAGGACTAATTAGTCATCCATTTTTTCAAAACATCATCCCGTTAAATTAAAGTTTATTTTTTTAATGGTAACTATTTGTTAACGTTCTGTTTTTCACGTTGGTACCATTTGAATTAAAAATGAATAATACTGTCTTTAAAATTATTTGAAAATTAGAATAAAAGTAAGTCTCACCTGTGTAAACATGTGGAGTGATAAACTGACTATTCAAACAGCTATAACTCTCATGCAGGCCCCAATCGTTCTGCATTGTCAACGATCAACGTATTTCAATTATATATATATATATATATTTATGTTGTTACCAAATCATTTGGAAATGATAATCGAAGAGAAAATGCATCTATCATGAGGAAATAACTCAATTAATTAATTATTTAGATATGATTAATGAAATTAACAAACTCAAACCTGCGAGCAGCTATCGTTAAGAGATTTTGACGGATCGTCGAACAAAAGACGTCTCCTTTTGCTTCTCTCACAGGACTCGATTAGAGCGTCTTCGAGGTAACCTGTGGAGACGTCTGAAAAATCCATCTCCGGTGACCGGTAAATCTGTTCCGGCGGTCCATTCATGAATCCACATGCATCTGCAATTAACAGACATTGCATTTTTATATTTTTATTTCCGTTGTATAATTTAACAATCAAGAATTTACGCATCATACATAAAACAATTTTTCTCAAGAAATCTTGAATAACTTGTAAATAAATACATGCACGTCGATACAAAGATATATTTCATTACACATGCGTATATTTGTTTGTCTGCATACATATACATATATATATATATATATGAGGGAGAGATATTATAACTTTTTTTTTGGTTAAAGAGCTTGCTTAAATAAACAAAATAGTTTTCCAAGTAATTAAAGGGAGCCTAAGCATCAGGCAGAAAACAGAGAAATATAAAAGGAAGGTAGAGAAGCAGCAGCAACAAAGCCAAAATGGGAGAAGGCATAGTTGAAAATAATCAAACATCACAAAAACCAGCCATACTCAACCAACAGCCAAGAGAAACGAGAACATTTTTAGTTTGACCAATGATTGATGATATCATATATATATGTATGGACATGCACATACCAAGATTGAAGTCAGGCTTGAAGAGTGATCCAAGGTTATGGAGATCCCAAGTGGGGAGAGAGTAAAGAAGCTCACTCATTTTTTGTGTCTTTGTTTTTTGAATGATTTGCTGAGTGTTTTGTCTGTATAACAAAAACTTATATGTCTGCCTATTTATCTTGGTGGATTGTGTGTCTAAAGTGAAAGTAAATTCAAATAAAACAATAAAATTGAGAAAACTAAAGTTAAAAAGCAGTGGAGAATTTTGGAAGATGAAGAAGTATTTGTACTCGAAACAGTCAACGGCAAAGAAATAAAGCAAAAGAACAATTGTTGGATAGTGCCTTTTGCTCCTTGTGATATGAATGTGTACAAATTATAACTTCAATCTATATATAAAAATTATGATTTGATTGGTAACTCATCATGTGATCGAATAGTATGATAAGTTTTTAACAAAAAAAAAAAAAATAGTATGATAAGCTGTGTTTTGCATCTTGTGATTAATAATATGATTTTTAATTATTATTATTATGGGCTTTCGTTATTCCGTAATTGTGCAGCTTAAACTTTCATTCTAGCGGTTCATAACTACACTAAATTTTGTTTGTTGAATATTTATGTCATTTAGTTCCGTGAATTTAATAAAATGTATCGACATGTAATTATTTCAGAATTAATTTTAGATATGTTCCTATGTAGAAAAAAATACAAGTGTTTGAATTTTTGTTAGAGTTGGTTAGATGGGGGACCTAATAATGGCTATAGGTTATGATTTCACATCATGCTGTTATATGTTCTTTTCTTACTGTCCAGCTTTAAGCAAATTTAGTAAATAATCTTATAACTTGACTCGGTCAATATATACTAGAATCAGAAAGCATCATATGTGGAATTGTGGATACTAAACACTGTCGGCCATTTTAAAACGTAATTGATATGGTTGATTCCGTGATTAAAATGCTTTTACATTAGATATAAGTTTTTTTAACCACACCAACCAGATATTATAATTATATGCATATATTCGTAATCATCATCAACTCAATGAATCGACTATCTATGCGAGTTAGACTTGGTTGTTGCAGATTCTCGATCATCATTATAAATTTATGATCTAGGATCACATTTTACATTATGACAACTGAAAAATTATTTTAAAAAGGTACAAGACAGTAAGCACGTTCACTGTTTTACTATGATGACGATGATGTGTTATTGGTTAGTTCAATGATAAAATACTGGTGATCAGAATTAAATAAAATGAGACTCCCTCCATTCACAACATTAAAAGCAGTTCATCATATATTAAAACGAATTTAAGAAGTGATGTATTTTACATGTAAATTTTACAGCATTGTTTTCGTAATTGGATTGCTTAGACAAAATAATGTAACATTTTTAAGAAGTGGTGTATCTCACAGTTCATTTAAGCATTGTCCTCCATTTCAAAGTTTCAAACCACAACCAATGAGTCATGAAATATCTACTTCCTTTCGTTTTTTTTTTCTTTTCTCTAGCTACTCCAACCAAAAAAGTCATGTATATAAGAATTGTTTGTTTTATGGACGTATAGGAGAATTCTGTTTGTTTTTTTTAAATCCATCAGTTTATGTCCTCATTCTCTATTTTGCTTCTGATTTGGTGAACAACCGGTACTTCTTTTGGATGCTTTTTTGGGTTTTTTTCCTTCATTCTTCACAATGGTGGGGTCATGTCACGTCCTTTCACGTTTACCTTCTTCCATTATTACATACCTTTATTTTCAATTTATTTAGTTTATGATTTTTATTTGAAATTATTTGATCTGATTTGATTTGATAGGATTATGAAATTGTTCGGAATGGTTGCAATAGTTGAAGCGATGTAATCACTGTCGTATAAGTATGGTTGGTCTGAAAATAAAATATGGTCGTGTATGTCAAACCATACAAATGAATTGTCATATATTGCGAGTGTTTTAGTGTGATCAAGTGAATAGTCACAATGTCACATTTAAATCCGTATGTTTTCTTACGACAACATCTACATGTTTCTTATATCTTTTTCCGGAAATATATCCATGTATTTTTTTTTTTTTCTTCGTCGTCATGTCCATTTGTATTTTTCCTCAATTTTTTGTTTTTTGTTGATGGTATTTTATTCTCTTTAATTTACTTTTCCTCGATTAGTTTTCTAGACATGTCCCCGGAGTACGATTTTTTTAAGTGGGCCCAAATGTAGGCACGCTTGTGGGGGCCCATATAGAAAAGACGAAAGATTGCGCCGGTATTATTCGGAGGACCCACATCTTTAACTGGTCGCCTCTAATAATTAATCAAATAAAAAAGTGTCTGTCAAAAATCAAAATGCACAAAGATAAACTTGTAAATATGATTTTATTGAAGAGTAAGCATTACTTTTTTCGTTCTTTCTCATACTTAGCAAAATATTGAGATTGGCTGCTTTCTATATTTCTAAGGTATGATATGAATTACAGTCTACTTTTTAGCTAAATGTATTTTAAAATATAGATTATAGCAATTAACAATTTTGTCGTTTTCTAGTGTCTTTGCATGGTCTGAGATCAATTATGATGTTAATCGAACGGTGACGATTGCCGCCCGTCAAGTTGGGCATTTAGCCGAAAAGGATTCGTCTATACCGCTAATACTTTGAATATATATTTTGGCCCATGTTTGATTGATTTTTTTGACGGCAGCCTTTGGTAATTTTGATTAATTGAATCAATTCTCTATACAGACATTATTCACCTTCACTAGAATGCGTTTTACAATTATTATCTTATTCCTTACACGTTTTAGCAAGAAAAAAAATGTTCCTTATATGTTGTGTTTAAGTCATTAACAATTTTTAGAATTTTCTTCTTCTAGTTTACCAACTGTTAACAAATATCATCATATGATTGTCTCTGCCATAGCCCATAGGTTTATTTGCATGCTATGATACGTGATGCACATGGACGCAATGTGTCAAAGTCTATTGGAAATGGCATTGACCCGCTCGAAGTTATTGAAGGCCAAACTCTTGCGGGTCTTTTCAAGAGGTTAGACTCGAGTAACTTGGATCCAAAGAAGCTTGTGGCTGCCAAAGAAGGACACGCCAAGGATTTTCCAGATGGGATCCCTGAATGTGGATCGGATGCTCTTCGGTTTGCCCTTGTATCTTACACAGCTCAGGTACTAAACTAAATATCACATTTCTCCTTCAATGTATGAAATCTTATGATGTGCTCTTACTTTTGTTTCTTTTCTAGTCTGATTTAGTAAATATGGACATCCTCAGAGTTTTTGGCTACCGACAATGATGTAATAAGCTCTGGAACGCTGTCGGATTTGTGATGATGAAGCTTGGCGATGGTTATACTCCTCTGCTAACTCTTTGCCCTGAAACCATGCCATTCATCTGCAAATGGATCCTTTCCTTGCTAAACAAGGCAGTATCAAAAACGGTTGATTCCTTGAATGCTCATGAGTTCTCAGATGCATCCAACGCGGTTTATGCTTGATGGCAATACCGATTCTGTGATGTGTACATCGAAGCAATCAAGCCTTAATTATTTCACAAAACCGGGATTTGCTCAAGAGAGGGCTCATGCACAACATGCTCTCTGGGTTTGTCTAGAGACTGGTTTGAGATTGCTTCACCCTTTTATGCCTTTTGTTACCGAAGAGCTTTGGCAACGTTTGCCTTGGTCTAATGACTGTGAACGGAAAGCGTCTATCATGATTTGTGACTATCCATCTCCCATAGAGGTCTCTGTTACTAAATACACCTTTTTTGATCTGTTATCCTTTTTATTCTGTTTCTAATACTCTTTATGATCGCAGAACTGGAGAAACGAAAAGGACGAAACCGGAATGGACGTTGTTCTGGCGACTGTGAAGTCTTTTAGAGCAAAGAAGAGCAGAGTTGCTAGAGAAACATCTAAAGGAAAGGTCAGTGTGTGATTTTGAGGATACGACTAAGTTTTTGTCTTTCTCTTCCTTATTCCTCTATGATCTTTTTCTTTCTTTCTTTCTCAGCTTACATGCGTGTGCTCTGTGTGAAGACGAGTTAACAGCAGAGATTATACGATCGCATGAGTTCGAGATCAGGACTCTTGCAAATCTGTCATCCTTGGAGGTGATATTTCATTAGAGATTTCTTATGTTTCTCTCTGTCTTTTATGTTATTTTTCTTCTCAAAATATTGTGGAACTTTGCACAAATAGGTTGTGTTAAAAGGAGGAGTAGAACAAGCAGCTCTTCCTGGATCTGTTTTTTAGACTGTGAACGAGAAACTGAAGGTTTTTAAGTGGATGAAGAAGCCATTAACACAAACGCGGAAGTTAAAAAAATCAGAAAAAAAAATTGCTGAAATACAAAAGTAAGTTTTAACCCTTGAGATGAGAGAATCTTAAGTAACTAAATTATAGATAGTAGATAACTAGCTCTTGGCAACATAACTGATTTGAGGTTTGCTATTTGTATAACTAAGCACTTGGAAACCTAATTGTTCTTTGTTCTTGTTCAGACACTGATTCTCTTTTACTTATTTTTTTTTCTTTTGATCAGACAAAAAGATAAGCTGCAGAAGAGAATGATTGCTAGCGGGTACGAAGAGAAGACAACAGAACTAAGCTTGCGAAACTTCTTCAAGAATTAGAGTTTTTCCAGAGTCTTGATTCATAGAAACTTCAAAAGTGAAACACAAGATCATCTCAGACAAATGGAGCAAAAACAGAGTGATGCAGCTAGGATTTTGCTAAATGTTTTATACTTTGTTGTCATTTAAAATTTAGAGCTTTTGAGGGATTTTTTTACCATTTCTAAAAACTTTGATGATATCGATAATATATCGTGATTCTATGAAGTTGTGTATCTACAAAATTGCAGAATCATATAATAGTGTAGTTATATCATTTTCTCGTGTTATTAATCAGAAAATGAAGTAATTTAGGGAAACAACATATCTCGTTTTTATACCACCATAGAAATAAAAATAATTTTTTTATTTTATTTTATTCAAATACACCAAAATTACAAATCATAACATCAAATCATTATTAAAAAAATGAAACCAAAAATAATCCCAGCAGCATGAAAGAAAATGGTTTAAAAGGAACTTAATAAGGGATAAAATATTTTGACAAAAAAAAAGGGATAAAATATTAATAATTCAGTAGCAAATTTTATCAGCAAATCTTGTTCTTGTTGGTCTTCTTCGTCTCCACACACTTCTTCCAATACGCCGTAACATCCCTCGTCGTCTCCTCTTCCGTCTTCTTAACACCGTTAACTTTTCCGTTAGCTATCTTGGCGTGAATCCTCGCCGGAAGCGTGTCTAGCTCGTGAAGAACCTTCTCAAAGTCTGCCACCAACCTCTCGGCCAAGGTTCGAGAGAAGTCTTCTCGAATCACGACTCGAAGAACTGTAATGTGTTCCGCATCCGCAGGCATCGTGTAGGCCGGAACGATCCATCCGAAACGCCGAAGCGTTTCCGCCACTTCAAACTCGTTGTGACGGCTACTGTCTTTTAGAGAAAACGCTACTAACGGAACGCCGTTTTCTTTTGAGACGATGTTGAAACGTCCCATTTTCTCTAGTCCTTCTCTTAACACCATCATGTTTTCGCGGCAATTATCCATCACGTTGCGATATCCCTAAACAAAAATAAAAAAAACGTTATGAAATTAGTCGTTTTTAAAAAAAATGTTTTTATAAATGGTAATTTGGTCATTGTTGAATTACTAATTACCTCAAATCCAAGACGAATTAGCTGGTAGTACTGAGCAATGACTTGACTTGAACCTGGTTTATATTTACAAGCACTAACAAATCATTAATATATGCGCATACAATATAATATATGGTTCTAAAAAAATATAGAAGTGGTAATGTAATACAATGTTACCTTTGGAGAAGTTGAGAGTGAAGGTGGGTTGATCGGCGCCAAGATAATTGATATGGAAGATAAGTTCATCAGGCAAATCGGATTTGGTTCTCCACACAACCCAACCGATTCCAGCGTAAACCAAACCGTATTTGTGACCACTCACATTTATGCTCTTAACCAACGGTAGCCGGAAATCCCACTCCAGCTCCGGATACAAAAACGGTGCAATAAATCCACCACTCGCTGCGTCCACGTGGATTGGCGTATCCCATCTGCGAAATTGCGTTTTCAAAACCGTTAAACCGGGATCGAACCAAGTAAAAACGAGTAATTAGTAGTGTCTAGTTATAATTACCCGGTTTGCTTGTTTTTCTCGACTAGAAGGTCGTTGAGGAGCTTAACGTCTTCGAATTCACCGGTTAACGTCGAACCGAGGATTGCTGCAACACAGATTGTGTTTTCGTCTACCATATCCACCGCTATTTCAGGGTCCATCACATAATATCCTTCTCTTAGCTTCACTTCCTTAAGCTCCACCTCGAAATACCTTGCGAATTTCTCCCAGCAAACCTGTATTAAACCGGAAATTGAGTAAAACATAGACATAAACCGGAATTACCATCTTTTGGGTTAACATTCCAATTCTTTGGTCTAACGTTTCAAGTTTTTAGTTTAACTCTAAAAATTGAGAAAACATGAAACTAAATTTATAAATCTATTTTTATTTTGACTATTTCAAATTACGATTTAGATTTCTGTTAAACCGGTTTAGTTTTTTGTTTGGTTTACCTGAACATTAGCTCCGGTTACGATATTGGGCTTATCATAAGGAAGCCCTTGGGCCTTACGCTTATTCTGCCACTGTCTCTTAAAAGCCAACCCGGCCAACATAATAGCCTCCGACGATCCCACCGTGCCGACACCAACCGCAGCCTCGCCGTCACCGAGCGGCGCGTTAAAGAGACGCGCAATCATATTGACGCAACGGTTCTGAAGCTCGGTGGTGACAGGGTACTCGTCCATGTCGACGTAGTTCTTGTTGATGGACTCCATCATGAGCTTGTCACACTCTGGCTCCATCCACGTGGTCACAAAGGAGGCTAGGTTTAGCCTTGGGTTACCATCGAGCATTAGCTCGTCGTTGATGATTTGGTACGCTGCTTCCTTTGGTATCGAGTTCTCAGGCATCTCGAATCTATAATTAAGTATGTTAAAAGTATTAATTAAAAACTCATGAGGTGAAATGTTACTATTAGTTACATTTAATACTTCAATGTTAATTTTGTATTTTTTCTTACCGTGGGAGAGAGTTGCGGACGTAACGAGAAGCAAAAGTTGAATGGATTGAAACATCGGATTCAGAAGCTGTCTTAGACAAAACCATCTTTTTTTCGATTCACTTGAATTCTTCGAGCTTTGATTTATGGGTTTGAATTGAACAGAAAGGAACGTAGAGGGGAAGAATATGTAATAATTATTGTTTGTAGTTGAAGAAATGTGTGGAATTAGAAGAAAATGAGCTAATGGTATTTATAATGAAGAGAAAGGTTCTCTTCGCTACGTGAAAGGAAGCATCGCTGGTCTTTGTTTATGGGCTTCGTTTTAACTTTTCTCCTACCGATGACTTTTCCTTATGGCTGTTATTGTAATACTAAGACTAACGAATCATTCTTTTTTTTCCCACCTAAATTCTATTAAGACCAAACGTGTACTTTTAAAAACTAAATATTTTCAAAACAAAACAAAAAAGCACTGAATTGAAATTTCTATAAAAACAAATAATACTTTGTTCTACCATCTTGAGATTTCTACCATCACCCTATAAATATTTTATTGTTTATATAAAGGATTTGCTACCATTGTATTAATTGGTTATGGTGATTATTTAACATCTTAAAGAAAATTCTCCAGTGTTTGGCATCACTAGTTATTACCCTTTTCTCTCTCTCTTTTTCTTCTTTGTTTAAACAAGGTAGAATTCGTTTACATATAAACATTTTCTTTATTATTATATATTAGTACAACTCTTATCATGTCCAAAAATTAACTATCAATGTGAAAAGACTATTTAAAAAGAGTAGATTCTTCGTTTATACACGCTTAAAAATGATCAATCACTAGAGGATCAATTATTGATTTTGATTTGACTATCTTTTGAACGAGTTGAAATATAACCAGCGGTCTTTAAATTCTCTCTTCTCTTTTTCATTAAAAGTCAACGCCATGCTAGAAATTTTTTGAATTGGAATGATTTTGATGCTTTTTCTGAACATTTCCCACGTAATTTTTTTTTTTAGAAACCACAATATCTAACTAATCTTAATTTTGGGATCTATTTACTTTTATTAATTAATGAGAAAATGTTGTTCTTTCTACAGTTTATTTTTATTTTTAGGGGGTTAGCGTTCTTATATGGGATGTTTGTATACTCGCATGAATTTATATATTTTTAGTTTAAAGATTTTTGTATCCGCCATTAAATAGGAATATATTATATGATAATTCTTTCGAAAATTAATAGAATGGAAGTATCTACCTTAAAAACCCCTATAAATCTAGCTTTTTTGTTGTTGTTGTTGTCAATACAATTTAGACTGTATGTATATAAGCTGAGAACCAAATTAGACAATATAATAAATTAAAAATGGTACCAATACAAATAGGCCATTGGCTTTGAATGAGATTCAATATTATACTTTCGTGTACATATCTGAAAAGAATAGTATAAAAAGGTCAAATAAAACATTACATCTAAGACTGACTCAAACAACCAAAGTTAGGCGATTAATCAATCCTCCCACTGGCTTAGACTAGGCTGGCTTAGGTTAATTAATTATGTTGAAAACTGAAAGCTATCTTGTGTCATTACTCATTAATTAGGTTGACTTAGGTTAATTAATATTGTTTTCTAGATTAGCTTGTGTCATTAAGATTTATTTCAAACTTTGATTTAATTTCTAAAAATTAACGTAGATTAATGTAGAATTAACTATTAAATATAGCTGGCAGACCAAACAAAAAAAAAAAAAAAACAGAAAAAGTTGACCCATCATCAATCACTCTCATTCTCATTTCTCAACGCGTCAGTCAAAGGGAACCGGCAAAAGGAGACGCCAATGGATGTAATAAGCTTAAACCGACAATTACGGGTTACCGGTACTCTTACCTTTTCCAAGATTTGATCTGACTTTGCTTAATTAATGGCATGCAATGCAAGTGCACCACGAAATTTTGAAAAGGCCATTTATTTTCTTACGAACTCTCGCGTAATTAATACACAATCTTCCAAACAAAAATTTAAGTAATTCGTAATTTCGTACCACGAGTTTATTTTATTTGCAAAATATTTTCAGATTCAGCGATTTGGAGGTTTAAGAGTGGCCCAACAAGGACAATTAAGAAACCCATTAATATTTAAGCCCAAACAGATCCAGTCATACTGGTGCAACTCGCTTATAGCAACGAATTTGGTTTATTTGGTTTGGTTTTAAAAACTAAAGAATGTGGTTCTGTTCTGTGGTGGCTGGTAAAGAGTGTCCACTCACATCAACAACTTGGTCTCAGTGCGGAAATATTTTTTCTAATTGATTCTTCGTCGATAGGCTTAAATGAGCTTGCGTGAAGATTTTTTCATGTTCATTGTTCAGGGAAAAGTAAAAAGATGGGTTCCATTGATGAAGAACGGTCACTCCTTGAAGTTGAAGAATCTCTTTTACAGGTTCGACCTCATGAGTCTTATGTTTTAAATTATGACCGGTTCTTTAATTTCCACTTGAACTGTTACCACTTTCTGATATTAGATATGCTTTCTTCATTCGAAATTTGCTCGAATTGATAATATATCTTCAATTGCAATTGTTCTTACTTCTTAGTCTTTTGAGGGTCTAAATCTTTGTTTGAACACAAGGAAGTTTGATTAAGCTTTAACATTAGTTTGTGAAGCAAGCCTCTGAATAAATATGTCTGAACTATTTTATTAGGAGGAAGTGAATTTGTATGCTGAAGATGGATCAATAGACATTAATGGAAACCCACCTTTGAAGCAAAAGACAGGAAACTGGAAAGCTTGCCCATTTATTTTTGGTAAAATCACTTTATTTGTTTCAACTGTAATACTTATGATTCCTCTTGTCCTGTCTTTAACTTCCAAAACATCGGTATGCTTTGGTGAAGCCAACGAATGCTGCGAACGGTTGGCTTATTATGGCATTGCCAAGAATCTAATCACTTACTTCACAAACGAGTTACACGAGACTAATGTTTCTGCGGCTAGACACGTCATGACTTGGCAAGGAACATGTTATATCACTCCTCTTATTGGAGCTCTAATAGCTGATGCTTATTGGGGAAGATATTGGACAATTGCTTGTTTCTCCGCAATTTATTTTACCGTAAGCATTTTCATCGGAAAAAAAACTTTGCTTTCAATAATGAGTTTACAAGAACTGAAGTGAATATAAGCCAAGACACATAGGCCTACTTGAAGAGGTTCATCTGCTAATGCTTTAGGTACCATTGGACTAACTGTAGTAGATTATAGTTAAGTATGCTGGTTTATGGGTAGTTAGTGAGGGCATTGGTTGAGAGTTGATAGCCTATCACTGATAGACTCTCCATGGTTTGGTGAATTTGGTTTCAAAGCTTCTGTTTTTATTTAGGTTCTGTTCTTTTGCTTGATATTCTGAACTTTGAATCTGTTTTTAAGGGAATGGTTGCACTGACACTCTCAGCTTCAGTTCCTGGTCTGAAGCCAGCGGAATGTATAGGTTCCATCTGTCCACCAGCAACAATGGCTCAGCAAGTGGTTTTGTTTTCCGGGCTTTACCTTATCGCTCTTGGCACTGGAGGAATCAAACCATGTGTCTCATCTTTTGGTGCTGATCAGTTTGACCAAACCGATCCAAGTGAACGAGTCAGAAAAGCTTCTTTCTTTAACTGGTTCTACTTCTCAATCAACATTGGTGCATTTGTCTCATCTACTTTGCTAGTGTGGGTTCAAGAGAATTGTGGTTGGGAATTGGGGTTTATGATACCAACTGTGTTCATGGGACTTGCTACTTTAAGTTTCTTCTTTGGAACTCCTCTTTATAGATTTCAGAGACCAAGAGGCAGTCCCATAACTAGAGCTTGCCAAGTTCTTGTAGCCTCATACCGTAAATCGAATCTCAAGGTCCTTGAAGAAGACCAGAAAGTTCTGTTCGAAACAACGGATAAGAACTCTTCAGTAGCTGCAATGCGGAAGATTCAGCACACGGACGGTTACAAGAAAATCTTTGCTCTCTTGATTTCTCATTTTGAAAGCAGCATTGGACTGTTCTTCATTGGTTAAATAAATTTGTGTTTTCATATCAATGTGCAGGTGTCTTGACAAAGCAGCAATCATCTCAGAAGATGACGCCAAATCCGGAACTATTCACGACCCGTGGAAGCTCTGTACAGTGACTCAAGTCGAAGAAGTCAAGATTCTGTTACGTTTGTTCCCCATTTGGGCTTCAGGCATCGTCTTCTCAGTCCTCCATTCACAGATTTACACTCTTTTTGTTCAACAAGGACGGTCCATGAAACGAACCATTGTCTCATTCGAAATCCCTCCCGCTACTCTCGGTATGTTCGACACAGCAAGTGTCCTCATATCCGTCCCAATCTACGATAGGCTCATCGTTCCCTTTGTGAGAAGATTCACAGGATTACCAAAAGGATTCACTGATCTACAACGAATGGGGATTGGACTTCTCGTCTCTGTCTTGAGCTTGACCGTTGCAGCTATCGTCGAGACAATGCGGTTACGTTTAGCTCGAGATCTTGATCTGGTGGAAAGTGGAGACACTGTTCCATTGACAATCTTCTTGCAGATTCCTCAGTACTTCCTTATGGGCACTGCTGGTGTTTTCTTCTTCGTTGGTCGGATTCAGTTTTTCTATGAGCAGTCTCCGGAGTCGATGAGAAGCTTGTGTAGTGCTTGGGCTCTTCTCACTACTACACTTGGAAACTACTTGAGCTCGGTGATTATTACGGTTGTGGCGTATTTGAGTGGCAAAGATGATGGTGGTTGGATTCCTTCAGACAACATTAACAAAGGCCATCTTGACTACTTCTTCTGGCTTTTGGTATGTCTTGGATGTGTTAACATACCGGTTTTTGTCTTTTTCTCTGTGAAATACACTCACAAGAAGGTTTGATCTCTTCTTCTTCTTCTTCTGATACCAATGTCTTGGAGGTTTCTTGATTGTTCTTTCAAAAAGATTTTGTTTAAGTACCAAACATTGTGGCCCTTTGTGTTATAAATTGAAAGTTCCAGGTCTTTGTGTTATCAGTTGAAAGTTATGGCCATTTGTTTTTGGCGTTGGAAACTTCCGTGTGTTCGAATAATGTTTCAACTTTCAAGATTATTATTATTTGGGGCATAATTTAAAACTTCTGAAGTTGTAGAACCATTATTAGTTTCATGATGAAGACTTATTTCATACTAATGGGCCGTAAGATTTCTTATGCATATTCTCGAACAAACCCAAAACAGAGCTTTAAAACACACAACAATGACCGTAAGATAACTATAACAAATGTATCATTTTGATTGATACTATAGTTCCTATGAGGGAACTTTGATTTATATTGCATATCTAAACTTTGATTTAATTTTTAAGTTTTAATAATCTCAGAGTAAACAATAATTGTAGAGATTTGGTGTGGAAACGCAACTAAACTAAGCTCTGCTGTGGCCATGTCCCAACACACCAGCATCTTTGTGGCCATGTTAAGCTGTTAGCAAAATTAGTGACCGAAGCTAAATCTTAAGATAAACTACGACACTGATATATATAGTCGAGTGTCAAGAGGAAGAATACATCTTCTTCCGCGACCTTGCACTGAAAACGTTGCATCTACCAAAGACCTTGAAGTTGAGTCGTTAAAGAGAGAGAGTTTGGAAGAAAATTTGCTTTTTATGATATAGAACTTGGGGGGTCAAGAAAGGTAGAGACGAGATATGGTGACAAGTTAGCGTTTTTCAGGGTGGAAATGTTTCCCACTTATTCTATCAGAACTCTGCTTGCTTCTCCATTGATTTACCATCTTCACTTATTTGACTACAGATGTAGCACATCGGGCTTAAACTTGTTCAACCTGCAATCTGGCCACAACTATAGTTGAACAGAACAAAATGTTTGGAAGAAAAAAAAAACTAATTAAATACAAAAACACCAGTTGAAAAACACACACATATGATGGAGCACATGAGATCAGTACATAAATCCTAAAACATAAGAACCAAGACTTTGAAGAAGATGAATAATAAGTTAACTCAATAAATGATCAGATGAGCTAGTCCTTGGAATCTTGTCAATGCTACTTTCATATATCGTATAGATTCTACTGAGCATTGCTATTTCGAAGCTATATACAAACTTGCTCTCAAGTGTCAAATGAAAGTGATAAATTTGGAAAATAAGGAACAGATAAGCCATAGAAACCAGAGTGATACAACTGGTAAACTGTGGTTGAGCCAGGATCTCGATCAAAGGCAACGAGGTTAGCAAGATAAGTAAGCGAGAGGATGACCTTATTCTTGTCCCTGGAAATGGCCAGAGGCGTGAGAGGCTGCGAGGTGATACCATTAAACCAAGTGGAAGTAGACCGCAAGTCAACGGAGAAGATCTTCTCCCACGTCCACGTGTTGCTGTTGTCTTCTTTAACCCTCCACCAAAAATCTTGCTTGCAATCTCTTTTCAGCTCAGAAATGCAGAGACGGCCATCGAGATTGCATAAGCCAATTTTGTCACCAGAGGCATCACGGGTGATAAAAGGTGGAGTTTCGGTGACCTGAAACATCTCTGTGTGAATGTCGAAAACGATGAGTTTGGTTTGTGTCGAAGGACCTCCTTGTTCATCTCCCGTGAGCCAGTAGAAAGATCCGTTTGCAAACGCTGGCCTCTGATTATACAAGACGTGATGATGATGATGATCAAGAAGAGGTCTAGTGCTCACGAACCTCCACTTCTTGTCCTCTAAATCCAAAACCTCGCATCCTACCTCCTTGTTAGTAGTAGCAGGATATCTATTATATAGCCACACTAACTTATATCTCCCCGTGACACTGTCTTTCCCAAATCCAAACCGAGTAAATGATACCACTGGAGCTGGAACAAGAACTGGATCTTGACCTTGAACTAGCTCCGCCTCCAGGTCTGGATGGTCCGCCTTTATGTCTGGATGGTCTGTACAAAGTCGTTGAATTTCCGCTAAGGGAAGTGCTTCGAAATTTGCAGTGACTGGATTTATAACCTCCACTGCTTTGGTCAAGGCGTAGATGCAGACGAGGCCATCGCAGCTCTCTGAAATCTCGAGAAACCCTTTACTCTTTTCGAATTCAACAAACAGGCGATCTTCCGGAGAAGTTGGCTTCGTCGACGTCTTTAGGGCCAATGTCGCTAAACGAAGGGAGCTGATTTGTGCGCGAGGGTTTACTACTTGACAGACCAAAAGGAGTTTAGGGTCTTTGGTGGTTTTCTGATGAGATGCGTATCTTTTCCCAAAGCCTCTTGACCTAATCAGACATCTCCAGTGTTTGGACAGAGTCTGGAATCTGATTAGCCTAATCACCGGAAGCCTCACCAGAATTTCTTCAACGACATCATTGTTGATCTCAATCTTCACAGACTCTCTTCTTCGTCATTGTTTTTTCAATTTGAACGCTATTGGTCTCCGATGAAACTTCACCGATGTCATGTCTTTTCCTTCCTACTTGATTCTTCTCTTGCTCAATTGAATCTGCAAAACCCAATTTATAAACTCTGTCTTTGCCTTTTTTCCTACAAGCTTCCAGGATTCAATTTTCCTTTTTTTTTTGTATATTGTTTTTTTTTTTCAAACTCAAAAGCGATTCCATTTCCTTTTTTTTTTTAATTATTTTTATAATTAAAAACAGTTTTCGCTTTCGAGGATTCAGGGATTAAGAGGATTTGGGAAAAAAGAACCGACATGTGCTCTTATCTTTTCTGCCACTGGTAAAACCAAAAAACACAGAACGGATTCGCAATGTATGTCATTGGATTGGTCGGCTCTACTCTTCTATTATCAACAACAAGGAAAGGGAGCTATTTGAAAAGGAAAAAAAGAAGCTAATCTTTAATTCAACTTACAAAAGAGCAGAAATCCACAAATAAAACTTGTGGGTTTACATCTTTTTGGTTTTGGTTTTGGCTTTTAGAGGTTATTCCTTAAAACAAACTCTTAGAAAGACTCAAGCTAGTACCTTAAAAATCCTTAGAAATATCTCTCATTCATCAGTGCCTTCACCATTACCAGACTTGAGATGAAGATGCTTCTCTCGCTTTTGGAAATCTGTCAAACCTTTACCACTTCCAGTCACACCCACTTTTCCAAATGGATCCTCTGGTGATTTGAATATACTCTCTTTCTTCCTTCCTGTAAAGAACCCTACCTGCTTCAAACAAACACACATCCAAAAACCTGTCTCAAAACCATAGAGCGAGGGGTAAAAATAAAGCCATCAAATTTGCAATATTTACTAAAACCTTTTTTGTTTTGGCTTTAGTCGTCTGAAACTGTTGCCAAGCATTCTGTTTCTTGTTCTGTACAACCTCGAGTTGCTCCTGCCTCGCTTTTGACTTGAACGCATGTGTCTTCTTACGCTTTGCAATTTTCTGAAAACAAGCGGGACTTACATAAACACGACCTCATAGGACCCAAAAAAAAAACAAAGACATAGCAGAAAAAATGACAAGGAGAAGAGATAAGATGACAGAAATAGACATACCATTTTCCCCCAAGCACCCTCTAGTAAATCGGGTGATCCAGAAGACTAACTCCACCATCTGATAGTGAAATCTCATTTTGCTTTGCGGTTGCAAGTAGTTCCTCTGTCAATGCAGTCACCAATGTGGTGCAAAACAAGTGTGTCAGAGAATTGGGATTTCAAACAATTTCATACAAAACATATTTAGTAAGATTTTCAGAAGTATAACTTCAGGGATCAAACGCGAGAAATCAGGAGACAGAAGCAAGCTGGCCATCATGACCCATATTAGCACACTTGCACAATAACCAAGATACAAATGATGAATCCCTCGCTAATATTCCTACTTTCATGTTTAATCCAACAACTGCCTTTGGCTGACCCAAACTCCACTGCTGGAGTTACATGACACTAAAACATAACTCCACTGTATCTAAAGATCTTGGTCCTGAAGGCCATGTGGGTCTGAGATGAAAGCAAGCTAGACAAAAACCTTGATTGTTTCGTTGAAAATATGAAGTGGTGTGAGAGAAAAGAACCAAAGTGCTTACTAAGACAATAAATGCAAAGAGATGTATGTCTTTGTAGCCAACTCATGATGGGAAAAAGATTGAATTTACCCAAAATGATCTTATCCACTACACTAAACCGTCCCTTTGAGTTCATTAAAAAAAAAGGGCTAATCAGATTTCAAGAAACTCATGAATGAAAGAAAAATGATGTATGGGTTTGATTAAAGCCAAGAATCTATACAGATCTTCAAGTTTATACATGAATGAAAGCAAAATGATGTACCCTTTTCGTCCGAACTCGAAACTCAATTCTGATTGATTCCCAAAATTTAATAAAAAATAAAAAGAGGAGAAGAAGAAGACACTTAACTACACTTCTTCAATCAACGAATCCCTAAATAAGCATCCTTACGAACACTAACTCGAGAACAATCATACAGAACCCTTATGTGCTCAAATATACATATCGCGAAATACAATTGTTCTTTGCCAATTTCTCAAGCATCACCAAAGTCCGAGGGAATTTGAACCACACAAAAAAAAAAAAACAGAGAAGAAATCGTTCGAACCTGTTCGAGCTGCTCTTTGTAAGCAGTGAGATTCGAAGCTAGCTCTTTGATGCTCACTTCTTCTCCTCCTCCTTCCATCTTTTTCTCCAAACTGAAGTTCGATTCCCAATACTTCTATACACACTGATCTTTCTCCTGTCCGATGTTGTTCTTTGTCTCTCCCTCAATAAAGCTAACGAAACAAGTTTTCAAAAACTCAATCTTTACGGATCAAAATCAAGTACCCAAATCCATGTTTTAGTTGTTTTCTCGATTGAGAAATCAGAATCGCGAATTTTAATTTGATTGAGAGAGAAAGATTAGGGAGAGAGACAGAGGGAGAGATTGGTTTGGCGGTAGAGAGAGAGAAGAAGATTTCTACATTAGTCTCAATCTCTCCTTACACTCTAGCTTCTTCTTCCAGAAAAACCCATCTCCTGACTTCGATATCCACTAGGGCTTCATCCTCAATTTCTCCATTATTGAATCGAATTAGTGTTCGGAGGAAATTTTTTTTTTATTATTATTTCTTTTTTCTTCGGCGAGTTTTCGATTTTGTAATATGGTTTTTTTTCTCCGTCCAACAGAAAAACAAATAATAAATCCAAAAATAAAGAAGACTCAAAACTAAAGTACCAAAATAGCAAAAACAAGAAAGATCACACACTCGAAAAGGCCAAAAAGATGACATTAAAAGCCAAAAAGCACCCAAAAATAAAATAAAATAAAAAGTCCACGTCTCCACGAGAAGTCATTCGTTCAAATCGACTTTCATCCTCATCATTCCCTGCATATCCAGATTGTAATTTTTGTTAAACATAATAAAAAAAAAGTTTTACATTAACAAAGTTTACTAAGTTACAAAGTACCTTTTATGAAATAGTAAGAATGTATATATATTAATATCGATTACAATGGAGAAGGCTGAATATACATACAGAGAGCTATTGCTAAGGTATTACAATAGAAGTAAATGGTGATATCTACTTGACATAATTAGAAGTGTAATGTAAGCAATCAAGGATATGCTCGTATCCTTAATATCCCCCTCAAGATGGAGGGGATTTTGAGACTCCAATCTTGCCAATGAAGGTAGTAAACGGTATTCTGGAGAGAGGCTTAGTTAATACATCCGCTAACTGATCCTTTGTGGAGACATGAGCCACTCGCAAAGATCCTGACTGAACCTGATGTCTGATGAAGTGATAATCCAAAGCCACATGTTTCATTCTTGAGTGAAAAACAGGGTTTGCGCAGAGATATGTAGCGCCTACATTGTCACAATATATGACAGGTGCTGTAGGTAGACGTATGCCGAGTTCATCTAAGAGAGAACAAATCCATTTAACTTCAGAAGATGTATTGGCCACTGACCGGTACTCTGCTTCTGTGGATGATCTTGCAACACTCTTTTGTTTCTTCGAGGACCAAGAAATTGGGTTGTGACCAAGATATACTAGATAACCATTTGTAGAAACAAAATCATCTTTGTCACCAGCCCAGTCAGCATCCGAGAAAGCATGAAGGGAGGCCATGTTGCCTTTGCGAAGTATGATCCCATAGTCCATTGTGCCTGCCAAATATCTAAGAACCCTCTTGACTGCATTCCAGTGCTCAGAAGTGGGAGCATGCATGAACTGCGACAATTTGTTCACCGCAAAAGATATTGCTGGTCGCGTAAACGCCAGATACTGCAAGCTTCCAACAATGCCGCGATACTCTGTGGGATCTGATAGTCTGGTGCCCGATTGAAGTGACAGCTTTGGGGAAGTGGCCATCGGAGTAGTAACTGGTTTGAACTCGAGCATTTTTGTTTTTGACAACAGGTCGATGGTGTATTTCTGCTGACAAAGGTGTAAGCCAGCTGACCCGCGTTTAGCCTCAACTCCTAAGAAGTAATGCAGGTCTTCATGGTCTTTGACCGAAAATCTGCTTGCCAAAGCATCAAGAGTTTGCTGAATGAGTGTGTGATCATTCCCGGTGACTAGAATGTCCTCAACATAGATAAGCATGTATACAAGAGATCGTCCATTCTTCAAAATAAACAGAGATGTGTCCGAGACAGAGTTAGTGAAACCAGCTGTAAGTAAGAAGGTTTTAAGTTCAATGTACCATGCTCTGGGCGCCTGTTTAAGGCCATAAATTACTTTCCGAAGACGACATACATGGTGTGGTTGATCATTGTCGACAAAGCCTGGCGGTTGTTCCATGTAAACTTCATCTTGGAGGGTTCCTTGCAGAAATGCGTTATTCACGTCTAACTGACGAACCACCCAGTCGTATTCGATCGCAACACCAAGGACAACCCTGATTGTTGTTGACTTGACAACGGGGCTAAAAGTTTCGGCGTAGTCAAGTCCGGGTCTTTGATTGTAGCCTTTGGCAACAAGACGGGCTTTGTACCTGCTTACAGAACCATCGGGATTATACTTTTTCGTGAAAATCCATCTGCAACCGACAACAGTGATATGAGGTGGTGGTCTGGGGACAATGTCCCAGCTGTGGTTGCCGGTTTGTGCATTCATCTCAGAGATACACGCTTGCCTCCATTGTTCATCTTGAAGTGCCTGTAAAGCAGTGCGCGGCTCGAAACCTGAAGCAACATCAATGGCTAAAAGATATTTTGAGTTGGGTTTTCTGATCCCTGTTTTGGATCGAGTATTCATGGGATGATTATTTTGGTGGGGAGCTTGGTTTTCTGGTGAAGATGTTGCAGAAGACCATGAAGATGGTATTTGATTTTGGGATTGGGATCGTGTTTGCTGAGTTATTTTGTGGGGAATCTTGTGTTTGTGTTTGGATATTAGATGGATTTGGGGATAGCTGGGCTGTGGGTTGCAGCCCATTTTCGTTTGGGGCAGTGGGCCCAGAGGAGGAGGAAACAGACGGAGACAGAGATGAAGTGTGCGATACCTGTGTGGGTAA